TCCAGGGCAGTTAGACTTTATTGTTTTGTTTCTTCTTTGATTTTCTTTTTATTTGATCATTTTATTATTTTCACATCTTAAAATAAAATAATTATTATTATATTTTAAAGAACATAAAATGACATAATGGTTTTGTAATTTTTAAATAAGATAATAGAATTTTTATAGTAATATTGACAATTGTTTTATGAATAATTTATCTATAAACCTAACATGTATTTTTTTAATTTGTCATGAATGTTCAATCCTCTCAAATTTATTTTTTATTTTAGTTTCACATGTAATCATATCAAAATTATTAAAACATGTTTTTTATTTAAAATTGCATTCAAATCATGAAAAGTTTTTATTCAAAAAAATAATACTATGAATAAAAGATATATGTTTTTATAAAAAAAAAATACATGAATAAGGAAAGAGATTTTTAACTAGAGAAATTTTTAGTAAGGACTCATAATTATACGTTAAAGATGTGTTATCTCTTATTTTACTATTAAAATAATCTGATGTTCATATATCATGGTAGACTTCTTATATAAATAAAGAAAATTTAATCATGCTACTATAAATTAAAATAAAAATATCAATTTTTTTCTTCGTATACATCTTCTATATATTCATAAATTTAAACAACTTAAAATACTTTCATGTTGATCATGCATTTTTTATGGATATGATGGAGATGTTTTCGAAGAATGTTAATTCTTATTTGTTACACCATCAAGAGATTAGCCAAAACATAATTGATGCACAAAAAAATAAGAAAATCATTACTTGTAAAGATTAAATTTTTATAAAATTACACAAGGTCATCAATCAAATAAATGAGTAGATTTTAAGATTGCAACAATAAAAAACAATGTTGTCATGCCTGATTGACTTGATTTATGATCAGTAACAAAAGACAAATGATAAAATTAAGTTAAAAAAAACACTTTTAAAGTTAGCAGAATCTAAAATCCTGGATGTTGTAAGAGGTAAACCAAGCTAGGCAGTATTTAGAGCAAACTTTGCTTAGAATGACAATCATAAAGTGGGCAAAGATTGTGTAATTACCTTTCATTTATTGTTGTTTCATTCTTTTATTCATTTTATATTCAGAAATGAACATTTGGTTTAAGAAAATATTATGTTTTCTCTTTTTTATATTTTTTTAAAGATTTTATTTATTTATTTATTTTTGTACCTCGAATTGGACTGGAAAGTATTTTAATACCAAGAACATAAAACAAAACAAGAATTATATATATATATATATATAATAGAACATGATTTGTTCTTGACTTGATTTTTTTTTCCATGACTAAATTTAGGACGAATCATAAACTACCACCATTATAAATGAAAGATCAAGCCATGACCTCATTCAAAGTGGATTTTTTTTATTTTATTCATAGTTTATACTCTTGCAGACCAAGAATATTACTCTTTTTTTTAATGTCTAGTTTAAGCTCATGTGATATGGAGCTTGATAGTTTTTCTATAATAGAATTGTTTCATAAACTTCCTATTGATAGGTCCAATTCGTAGATCATCTTTGTCAACAATCTTGTATAATTTATTATTTTTCCTATTCTTCAAAAGTTTATAGAGTTAGAGTTGGTTTATCCTTAATAGATAACTCATCTAAGTTTGAGTTTGTAATTTGTACTTTGATGCTTTATCAATGGTGATATGATTTGCAAATACAATCTTTAATTTTGGAGATTAAGTCTCTAACTTTGTTAGAGTCTTTTCGCCTTTTTAAAACTTTTTGTTTTTTTTATCAGGATTTACTTGATCTTCACGATATACTCCTTTTTTATGACTTTACTTTTCTTTTCATCACTTTAAAGCCCAATATAAAGAAAACATAAACTCTTAATCTCAAACTCTGTAGTTGGGTGGAAGCGGATATTTCATCCCCTGGTCTTTCAAATACTGAAACACGTGAATCCTCGTCCAGTCTTTTAAACATTGAAATGCATGAATTTTATTTATTGTCTTGATATGGAACACAAGGTTCTTACGCATCATCTTCATTATATTTGAAGACATGAATCGTAATAGCTAAGTCTCTAACTTTGTTAGAGTCTTTTCGTCGTTTTAAAACTTTTTGTTTTCTTGATCAGGATTTACTTGATCTTTATGATATACTCCTTTTTTATAACTCTACTTTTCTTTTCATCACTTTAAAGCCTAATATAAAGAAAACATAAACTCTTAATCTCAAACTCTGTAGTTAGGTGGAAGTGGATATTTGATCCCCCGATCTTTCAAATGCTGAAACACGTGAATCCTCGTCCAGTCTTTTAAACATTAAAATGCATGAATTTTATTTACTGTCTTGATATGGAACACATGGTTCTTACGCATCATCTTCATTGTATCTGAAGACATGAATCGTAATAGTGTTTGTTGTAGTATTCTACACCTTAATTTTTAGATGTTCACATGGTCAATATTCTATTCTAAATTTTGATTATTAGACCAATCTTCCTCTCTATATAATCTTTCCTGTTTTTTTAGATGGTCCTCTACCTATAAAAATGTCATCTACTTCATACTTCTTTACTTGTATCTTATCTTTTGAATTTTAATTAGGTATGTCTTTTAGCTTCAACTCTTTATCTTTTTAGAAGTAGAATCTGACATTTGTATAATGTGATTCTTTAATTTTTTTATTTTTTTTGCAACCATAACACTCTTGACTTTATCATCACAACTATTAGCATGTTTGGAAGTGTAGTTGTTATTGCTTTTCAAATAACTTTGCGTGCCAAAATGCATGCCAACAATATTTTTTTTATTTTTTAAAAATTATTTTTGATATCAGCACATCAAAATGATTTGAAAACACTAAAAACATATTAATTTAAAGTTAATAAAAAAATAAAAAAATTTCAAATTTTTTCAAAAGTACTTTTGAAACACAGAAACAAATAATGGAACCACATCATTTTTCATGTAACCAAGTTCTTTCCAAGAGTAAGCCATAGTAAGTTTTTGCCTCAATAATATGACAAAGTGCTGAAGAGTTCATCTCTCCAATCTCAGTCTTAATATGAATCTTTCCAATAATATGTTGTCATTTTTTGTTAAAACCTTGGATAGTTATCTTACTTTTGGATATTTCATCAAGAGATATGTCAATATTCTTCATTATATGAACTTGTATGATGTTAACTATCAATCTACCATCAATTAAGATATGTTTTATTGTTTGATTTTAAACCTACCCGCTTGCATAAAGCTGTCTATTATATGATTTTACTCCAAGCTATAAGTCCTCATTCGATAATGAATTTGTTGTTAAACGATTAACATTGGTTACATCATTAACCCTTAAGAATAACTTTTCTTCAAACTTTTTAGGGTAAGAAAAACTCGAGCAAGAGCCAATTAAGAGCAGTGAAAAATAATTTTTTGAATTATATTTGTTTTGTATTATTTTTTTTTATACTTGTAAATAATTTTTTTTTATCATTTTTCACCTTCATTTTGATTTTTATGGATCATTGCATATGCTTGATGGGTACCACTACCTGAAGAGACAATGAAATCCAATAAGAAGATCAATTTGGTTCTCTTGTTCAATTGAAGTTTAAGGTACTTCTTCCTTTTTTTTTATCTTTTTTTTTGTTGCTCGAGAATATGTTTGAAATTGTGCTTCTTAAAAAATTAAATTTATTTTTAAAAAAAATTATTTTTGAAAAAAATTATTTTTTTATATTTTTAAATCGTTTTTATGTGTTGATATCAAAAATAATTTTTAAAAAATAAAAAAATATTTTAAAAAATAATTTGTAATAAATTTAATGTCACCATCTTTAAATCCGAAGTCAGCCACGAGTAATATTAAATTAAAAAAATATTTTAAAAAATAATTTGTAACAAATTTAATGTCACCATCTTTGAATCTGAAGTCAGCCACGAGTAATAAGGGCTTGGCCTAGCGGTGGAAGGGGTTTGTCTCCTTCCACTGCACCTGGGTTCAAGTCCTAGCGTGCACGCCTGTCACCCCGCGGTGCCTTACATGTCTACTGGGTTTGCAGGATATTCAGTGGGCTGTGAGGATTAGTCGTGGTGCGCGCAAGCTGGTCCGAACACCCCACGTAAATCAAAAAAAAAAATCAATAATATTTTTTTTGCTCTGAGCCTATGATACCCGATTAACATCGAGAGTATTTTTCGTGAGGGGCACGAGGAAAGCCCATGTATGGATGAATCATGGCCCGATATAAATCATTTAAACATATAGAAAGACTACAAGGCCCGTCTTTCCAAAAATCTGTTTTAACCTTCTGAATTAATAGCCTGGCTTTAAAGTTCACGCGTCACTGTTTAATATTGGGCTTCTTGACCCGGACTTAAAGAAAGCAGGAGTATAGCATGTAGCTATATTTTTTATTATTTTTTATTGGCAAATTGCGGCCACTTAGAGCTGACAGATTCTCAATCAGAAAACGTGGAAACTGGCAAATTGCAAATACCAGACTGATTTACAAAAGTCAAAACGTATAAAAAGGCCAATTGCATCACCAAACTATTTTACAAAAGTCAAAGGATTGATTAAAAGACAAGTAGAGAAGTTGCTAAATAGAGCTGGGACTACGGAGCCATTGCCTCTACGGGGAGTGGAGGGTTGTCAGGAAGTGAGTTTTAATTTATTTTTTAATTAAAATTTATTTTTCTGGTTTTAAATGTATTTTTTTTTAGAGTTTTTATGTTATATATTAATAATAAATTTTAAAAAATAAAAAAATATATATTATTTTAATATTTTTTCAAACAAAAAATATTTTTAAAATCAGGTTTTATTGAGCTTATCATTGTCAACTGTCGAAATAAAGAAACAGCACCACCATTTCTTCCATGTTACTGTGGTTAAATCCACCGATTGCTTGTTAAAAAAACAAATCAGACTAAAATTTGAAAAATTCTACGAAGACTTTCACAATAATGATTGTTTACAGAAGGGGAATTTGTCGCAACTAATGATGATCCCTTGTTGTGATCGAGTAGTGAAAGCATCGGCTAAAAAGTCTACGTCAACTCTTCCCATATCACCAACCTCTATTCCTACAGCTATAAACAGCTGCTAATTCTGTATTGATTCAATATCGCTAAATAACCAGCCTCATTCCCGTCTAAGTAGCCATGGCGTTCTGTGGAATCCAAGGCTTTCCTCTTGAGGTCACTGGTATGATTACCTACCTAGCTCAGACTCGTTAAGTATCAATCGATCATTTTGAAACTGACTAGTGACCATCGTAATTATCTCTCTGTTCATAATGCCTTTCTTTGCAGTCGTTGCTTGTTACAATTTGGAAGACAAGGAATGGATATCAAGACAAGACCCATATGTTAGTGTTGAGTATGGAAACACTAAGTACCGAACCAAAACGTGCACAGGTGCCTATATCTCCTGAATTTTGCTTTCATGTATAAATAATACATGCGAAACCACTTAGTTTTTAATCTCAAGAATCTTCCTTCATGTTTGCTCTTTCTTGTTTTCCGACGTAAGTTAATTATTGCATTACTTGTAAATTTTGATTCACTGAATCAGATGGAGGCAGGAACCCCGTTTTTCAAGAAAAGTTCATTTTCACACTTGTTGAAGGCCTCCGGGAATTGAGCGTTGTGGTTTGGAACAGCCACACCCTCTCTGCTGATGAGCATATTGGCACCGGAAGGTAATTTGTTGTTAGCCCTCAAGAAGCAGTCAGGAAAAAGAAATTGAAATGTTTAGGATCTTACTGATCACTTCGTTGTATTCCTGGAACCTGCTTGATGTAGAATCCAGCTCCATAAAGCCCTTTCCCAAGGTTTTGATGATGCTTGCTGGCCCATACAGAGCAAAACTGGCAGGTTTAACATGAGCTCACATAACCTTCTGTCGTTAATTGACTCTTGTCAGTATTATTCTTGAATTTCTGATACATTCTCTCCAATGCAGGCATTCAGGGGAAGTTCGGCTTATGTTACACTACTCAAATCCCAATGTATTTTCAATCTCAAAAATTACTTTGCTTCTCTTGCAAATTAATAGATCAATATATTCACATGCATGATAGAGAACTGGTTTGCCAACAAATTAATAAAAAATGGTTTCTTTTGTTGGAGCACCACAGCAACATAAAGGGAAAATGACACCATCAGATTTAGGATCAAAATATGCATCGCCACCACTGAACCAGGTTCTGCCATACCCTTCCATGCCACCAGCACCCGCTGCTCTTTATCCTGCTACAACTACCTACTCCTCCCCTTCTCCGTACACGGGGTACTCTCCAAACCCTGCGAGCTATCCGCCGCCGCCTCACATTCCTACTCCAGCTGGCTACCCTCCGCAAGCGAATTTTCCTGCAGCCTACCCTCCCCAAGCATATCCACCTGCTCCACAGCCCTCAACGTACTATCCTACAGGTAAATTAACGCTTCCTTGCTGGTTATATATAGGGAAAGAAAACTTTACCCAGATGATTCATGTACTTGTCAGGTTTGTAATTCTCAAAATCTTAGACCCGGAGTCCTCACCTTCCTCAATTCCAAAGTTATTTATATTTATTAATGGTTCTAATGTAGTCTAATAAGTGGTGTTTTTTCTCTCACTTGATGGCAGGTGCATCCGGGGTTTATCCACCACCACCACCAGGAATATATCCGCCGCCGCCGTACTGAGTTTTTTTTATTGGATTTCTTTTTTGGGTTAAACAGATAATCTGCAGAAGAAATAAAATTATTTCTCTAGTAAATAAATTTACTCGACTGGGAGCGCAATTTCTACCGTCCCTTTCCTTTTCTTAAAAAATGTGATTGCTTTAATTATATACATGATCAATGAATTAGTTCTCCTTCAGCTCAAGCAATTGTATGTGATTGACTTTGAAATTCATGTGATTTATTAATATCCCGACGTTGGTGTTTATCCTTTCATTTTCCAAATAAAATCGCTGGGTTGTCAGAATTTCTTATACACAAAAAAATTCCCAAATGTTAAATAACTAAATTTATTGATTCATTATGGTTTCAGTGTCTATTTCTTCTTCTTCTTCTTCTGAAACTCTTGCTCTCGATCTGCTGCTTTTATCATACATAACAAGCCATCTTCTTTGAGTTATCTAGTCTATATTACCTCTCTAATGAGATCAATGTCGGTTCGGGTTGCTTAAAACCAAAATTTGTATCAAACCCGCCTTCATTTATTGTCAGATTTCACCCTTTTTTTAATTTATAATGCTGGTTTGGCTATGATATGATAATATTAGCAATTAGCGTCACGTTAGTCTTGTGTTGCGCCAATTATACGTGTAGAGTTGTGACACAGTTTTTATGTTTTTTTTTTAGGTGCTGTGGTAATAATTATTTAAAAAAAATATTTAAAAATATGTTAAAATAATATTTTTATTTTTAAAATATTATTGTTTACATCATTATATTAAAATAATTTAAAAATATTAAAAAATAATTTGTAAAATACAACAACAAAATAAAAGGCTGTGAGTTTTTTACCCCGATCCGAGATATCTGTTTTCAATTGGCATATCTGTTTATCCGTCCAAAGTAAGTCGGGTCAGGCACCAAAAGTTTCATTGTACACATGGCAATTTTGTAATTATCTTTGTTCAAGGCTTTTGATACCGTACATACGGCTAGAGATGGCAGCATGTAATTTATGCAACTCTTTTCTGTTTTTTTATGGTTTTTTTTTTTTTTAGCTTTACAGGTGGTTTATTTAACACCATAACCAAAACTTGAAAAAAAAAATTCAGTGTCTATATTTTTATTTTTATTTATCTAAGTGTATGTAAATTCTTTTTTTTTCTCCTTGTATGTTTTCCCTTTAAAAAAATTAATTGAGTGCTTTTAATTCTAAAAATTAGAAAATGCCTATCTTGCATCAACTTAAATAAAATTAAAATGACAAAACAACAAATAATTATTAATTGAAGTTAAAAGAAAATAAGAGCAAAAGGTGACTCATTCAAATAAGAAAACTCAGATTGATTCACTTGCTCATAAACGAAATAAATCTTTAATTATATCTTTTAAAGGTAACTTGCTCATAAACGAAATAAATCTTTAATTTATCTTTTAAAGGTAAAAAAAAATCATTTTTACAAATTTAATAATTAAAAATTTAAAAAAAACTACAGAAAAATTCTTGTATTAATTAGTGTGAGCGTCCACACCAAATTTCATCAAAATCTACATTTTTTTAATTCTATTTTGCTGCTTTTAATTTTTTTTTTTGTTATTGTTTTTACCTAGTGAATTATGATAAATCCATGAACACAAATCACAAACACAACAATCACAACTTTTAACCCAATTAACACTAACGAAAGAAGATTCAAAAAAACACAGAAGGCACAAAATTTCCACTGGTGTTGATTTATATTTTCTGGGTACTCCAAGTTTCTTCATCAATCTTGCTATTTTTTATTGGATACCGAGAGTGAAATTCCCACTAGCATGGTGAAAATATATTAAGCAATAATAGATTAATGAAATATGACAAGGATTGACCCCTGTGCTAGGAGGCCCTGGTGTTGATTTTTGAAATCCTGTGTTCCTGACTAGAACATTTTTGACTAATCTACATAACCCTCCCTTCTGAGCAACAAAAGATCAATCAATCATCATAACCCACAGAACCTACATCCTGTGCTTCAACTCCTACTGCCACCTACTTTTACTTTGGAAAATAAGCCCAAGAATTAGGGGGGGAAACAGGAGCAAAATAGTCCCATTAGATTTCAAAATCAGAAAATAAACTCCAATCAATCTCTTTCCTGTATGTAAGAAATATAAAAATCAATCTCTAATTAAAAATTGATTTGTCAGGGTTGTTCAAGTCAATGTGCAACAGCAATCTAATTGATTTGGAGTTATAATTTAGATTAGAAAATGTGAGATTTTATGGTGGAGCTGGTGAGAAAGGATGAAAGATGAAGAGAGACTGCTTGGTTGAATTAGGTTGTTGATGGGGTGTGATGTGTTGCTTGAATTTCTTGGTGGATTTGGGATTGAATATGTTGTTGTTTATTACCAACCACCCAGGCTTTTTGTGAAATTGAAAGGAAAAGAAATAAAAATAGAATGAGAAAAAAACAAAAAGGCTAGAATGTCATGTGTACCATCTTATCAGTTATATTGGACTCTGGTGATAATACACACACACACACACATATATATATTTCCAGCCAGCAGTATGAGCTAGCCCAAACGGCTAGAAGGGGGAAGGGCATCCTGACACTGATACTAGACGACACCCAGCATCCAGTTTGTCTAATCTTGCCATCTATTTTTTTCGAGTTTCCAAAGTCTTAACACGTAAACTTTTTTATGTATAATTATTTTTTATATACGCACCCAATTTTGTAAGTGCAAAATAGGCATCTTTTACACTAATGACACTAACCATGACAGGAATTTTCACTAAACACGACATGACACAACCAACGGTCCCTATAGCTAGCCAAAGACTTTTCTTAAACGAAAAGCACCAAATAACATTGACAAGCACTTCTTTGTCTTCTCCAATGGATTCCCAGCCTTGCAACCAATGGTAAAGACCCAATCACCATGTAAGAAAACCATGTTCATCCTTGACCATACAAAGCCAGGTCAGGCAACATATATGTTGTCCAAGTTCCAGGCCAGCATTAGTCATACAAGTCGCTCTCATGCCATACAAGCAAGAGCTGCTTTTAGTACAAGCTCTTTACACAAGGCTAGAGACAAAAGTTCAAGCTCATTATTTCACCAGCTCAGCCAAGATGCAACCATAAAAAAATCTATATTCTATAGTTTTTCCACTCCTCCATCATACTTCTTCTGCCCATAAATTAAAAAAGGAGGGATTTTATGCCTGCACTAGGAAAAAAGGATTGAAGTTACACTTTGATTATGGTTTCACAACACGAGAACATTTTAAAAAAAAAGGAATTTAGGCTAGTGAACAATGTTTTAAATTGTGGTTTCAATCAAACAGGATATCCAAGGAGCTAACGATTACAGTTGTGTGGCATATAAAATATCTTGCACTCATGTCAACAATTATTTTTTAATTGAATAATATAATGTTACGTTAGCAACGACCGCGACACCACCATAGCAGTATTTGTGTCTTTCCGTTCTTTTAAAAAGTTTTTATTTCTTTTTAAATTATTCTTCTATATAAGTTTAAAAAAATAAAAAATATATTATTTTAATAAATTTCCAAACAAATAATACATGGAATAAACAAATAGCCATTTCAATCTCGAGGTCTGCCGAGTGCGAACTTTTCCATTGCGTTATGAGTACTGCGCTCGTTTTTTAAAACCATGATTGTGAATCGCATCAGAAGGAAGCAACGTTCATTCCAAAGGGCGGCAGGCTTTCTCAAATGTTTAACCATTGAAATCAAATTTCTTTTTATCCCCAAAAAAGTTTCTTCCAGACCAAGTAAAAAACATCAATAGTTGGAGGCAAAGAGGGAATCAAGGTCTCTCTGAAGACTCGATTCGTATTCTTTAAAGTGCCCGCGCGAGCCTAATAAAGTAATCGCCTTCAAACTGACATTGCGCGTTTACATTTAACACCGACAGCTCCCAAACTGGGAACCATCTGATTAGCAAAGAGAACACTTTCGCTTCTAATGTGGGAGTCTCGCCTCAAACAAGGTATGGTTGATTTTCCGCACGGGAGAAAACACAAATTTTTCAAAGAAATAATAATAACAATGAAGGGCATGTCTTTGCAGACCGTTTCCAGTTAGATAAATAAAGTCAGCTGTCACTCCCAATCAAAAACAGGAAGCTATACCTTGACTTCCATGTAAGAACTAACCAGTTCCCTTGAAAGATATTCCATCCGCTGGTGTGCACTGACCCATGCCTGCAAGTCTACGGATGCATAGCTTTGTTTCGCTTGCTGATTGCTTTAATCACCCCCACAAACAAGAAAGAGAGTCTTTCGATTCCTATGCCTCGCAAAAATAACAAATCAATCTGAGAATACAAAACACATTCCTTCATTTAATGGATTAATTTACAGCACCTCTAAACCATAATATATTAATCTACGTGGCACTTACATTTACAATTACTCACCATGCCATGGAAGAAAATGGTTTCAAATGCAAAACATCTCGGTGAAAGAAACACAAGAACTGAAGCACACTGTACCTTTTGGTTGAGTGAAATACCATCGTACAGCCAAAGAAGCCTAGCACTTCTCCAGTGCTGAAATAGCTGTCACGGCAGAGAAATAGCAAATCAAGCAATTGTAGTGTTTTGCCGATTGAGCCAACAAAAATGATTAAGTCAGCACAGAGCTTGCTTGCACCATATGCTCGAAGTATAAAGATCCTCGCACTACACTGCATGCAAGAAGCTTGAGGGTCAAGGCCTATTTGGGTTATAAATCCCAACAAATATATTTTTAGTCTAGTGTTATAACATATGCTAGTGTGCGGGTTGTGTGCGCAATTGTTATACCACACTAGTAACACTTGTAATTAATCCTAACACGTAACTAATTAGTCTACACTGCCTTCGAGAAACTAAAGGATCAAAGACTATCTGGGAAATAAATTCCAACAAATAAACAGTGTTCGGGTGTCAATCTGTGTGTTTTAGAGAGAAGTTTCATAAAATAAAAGTAAATTACCACTTATGACAGGCTCACTTCATGAGAGATTGCATAAAACAAAGGTAAATTACCATTTACTACAGATTCACTTCATTGAGCAAGGCACGCGAGAATCTGATGATAGACAAAACAGTGTTTGGAGATTTATAGACTGCATAATGATTGATCCAGCATCAAGACAATCTGGCGTAACTCACGGCAATCAGCTTTTCATTGAGTCATTGCCATATATATATATATATATATATGATAGAAATCTGTCACGGCAATCAGCTTTTCATTGAGTCATTGCCCCTTATATATATATAGAAATCTGTCGCTTCAA